AGGGAGTTTTAGTGTTTTGATTCATTGATTGATTATATCTGAAGGGGGTTACATCTCCTTTTATAGGGAAGAAGAAAATTCTAACGCTAACCAGACGAAAAAATCTTGAAAAAGTTTATAATTTCGCTCACCTAATAAAACTTAGATTACAATAATAATATTATTACTACTAAATATAAATAAATATCTTACTCTACTATCCATAACACTCAAATTAATTTATTCAGTTTGATTTCTTGAAGATTAAGAAAAACTATTGAAAGGGTGTTAAATGATAAAAAAAGTAAGTAGTTAGAATTTGTTTAAAAGAAAGAAAATTTTCTCGAACGAATATTCATTAAAAAAAAGAAATTATTCAAGATAGGAGGAAAACATAAAATTAATGTGCTAATGTTGGCATTTTAGTGTTTTTTGGTACTTTATGTTGATGTTAATGACATGTAATATTGTGACATAAAAACATGAAATTTTTATTTTAGTTCTCTCCTTATATCTAACTCCTATTTTAGTATTTCTTCCTTTAAAAAAATGAAAATGAGAAAATAATTGGGATGAATGGAAAATGAAAGTAAAAAATTTGTTTGATGAAGAGAATAAATTGAAAATTTTGTATTTGAGATTTGTTTAAACTAGTATTCTGACCCGTGCCATGCACGGGTGGAACGAAATTGTTTTTTATTATGCAATATCAAATATTTAAACTTGAATTTTTTATGTTATATACCATTTAAATTTCACACACACACACACATATACATACACACACACACACACAATCTAGGTTTACTTAATTATTACAAATATATAATTCTTCTCATCCCTGAATTCAAAAAATATACGACAAAAACATTGGAGATTTTATTGTTCTTCTCCCCCGCATTTATTTAAGAATAGATTTCCGATCTTGTAATTTTAATATAAAAAAATCATGATTCTTCTCCGCCAGATTAATTTGAATTAACGGAAATATATGATTTTAATTTCTATGATGCATTAATGTGATTCTTCCTCTCCTTGGCCCTTTGCACTAATTAAAAATTGACTCTTTTTTCTTGTATTATTAAAAGTATGAAAACATAAATTAACAATCATATGATAAGAAATATAAATTTTACAATACATTAAAAATATAATGATTATTCTCCCTCGTATTATTTCAAAAATTATGTGAATGCAAAAAAAAACATTAGTGATTCTATGATTTTAATGAAATTTTACAAAAACTATTTCACAATTTTTACTCATTTTTTTTGCTTTCTTTTTTAAATATTAAATCATTTAAGTGTGTGAAGTATTTTTGTCAATACATAATGTTTTATAAAATACAAAGAGTTACAATTTAAAAATTATATTTCTCTTTGATGTTGTAGTTGAGCCTAAATCTTATTCACTTCTGCACATTAGATATTCTTCGTACTTCTCCTTAAATTACTGATTATCCTTGCATCTAAATTTTAATTGTCACAGATCTTAACGCGTTTCTCGATCCCCAGATCCTAATTTTCCTTATAGAAATATTTTTTGTGAAAGTCCATGTTATATCGCTTCATCTCTAAGAATATCATTTTGTTAAATTTCTTTGTATGATTGCGAAAATGAAGAAAAGAGAATCGAGCCATACTTCATCCGTCTTTTTTATTTTCATGCATATATATAGTGAATTATCACCTAATATAAATTTATAAATGTTAAGTTACATCTTAAATATGGTAAGTTATAGTGCAAACCTTCTTTGATTAAAATAATAGGTCAAATTAGAAAGATAAAGTACAAAAGTCAAATTAAATAATCCTACTAAGTAATACTCCATATGGTTTAAATACTTAATAAATACTCCGTATATAATTTTAATATAGGGATTAAGAAGTATTTGTTATTTTACATCAATATTTAAATAAATGTAATAAAGCTAACTTCTCTTAATCATACCATAAAGAAATATGAATTTTTTCTAAAGATAAAGAGAGTAGATTATATATTCATTGAAACTATTATTATAAATGAAATGAAAAAAATTAAAACAATATTCTAATGAAAAATAAATATCTCTCTTTCGTAATTAAATGTACTCAATGATAATAAAATCATAAATAATGTTAGTGTAATATAATAAGTCCCAACGATATATTTTGTTTTAATCATTTGTGTTTTATAATATAATAAAAATAGGTTTAAATATGTTTTTATACCCTATAAAATAAGAAATATTTTTAGTCCCTGTAAAATATTTTTTGATAAAGTCATCCCTACAAAATATTTTAATTTGAAAATAGTCCTTAACGTAATTAGAACTTCTACTTAGATGAGATAGTACATTTATTTCATACTCAACATATTAGTCATGTATTTCTAATTACATCTGATGCAATTTCTAAACCCTAAATTGTGTACTTATTCATATTACATATATTTGGTTCTTAAATTTCTTACGAATATAATGTAATCAAAATTTGAGAATTGAAAATGCAATTTGATAAAAGGCACAATTGTTGACATCAAAATTGTGTTTGAAGTAATTGCAAATCTAAAACCAAGCTATTGAGTACAAAATAAATATGTTATCTCAACAACTTAAAAGTCTAATATATTTTACGTGCTTTAACAATTTATTTTCTAATATTCTCATATTTTAATAAATATAATTAAATTGACTGCTTCGATTTAAATATATCATAAAAACATGAAATTTATTTAGAAGTGAAGAAATATCTTATTAATTGCCTAGGACCAATTTGGTGAATTTTGGATATATTATAAGATGTGGGTTATGAAAACTTAGAGAAATGATATGGACTTTGTAATCTGAAATGATTTTATTTGGAGAGATTTAAATTCAGGATTTAATTAGTGATAAGAAAGGGTAACTGACAATGTGAGTGGTTGGCAGTGATAATGGTAGCGAGTGGCGAAGAATGATCAATAGTTGAGAGAGATATCAAACCCCCATATTGATATCTCCTAAATTTGAGAGATATTGAGATCATCCATTTTAAAGATTTATAATATCTGGATATTAAATTTGATAACTCTTTTGGCTTCACCAAACACCAGAAAAGGATAAGGATATCTAAAGATATCAAAATCCAAAACTCATATTTTTTTGCTCACCAAACACACTTTTAGAAGTTTTGTAATAATTGAATAGAAAATTATGCATAATTAAAAATAATTTATTATAAAAACAAATATCTATATTCTCTTCCATAATTAATTGTACCGAAGGACTTCATACAATAGTATTAACTTCTTACTTTCTATAATATATTTTACGTGTCAGAAATGTCTCTTGAACAACATCACATCTCAGCTTCTTAGAGATTAAAATATCAATTTTATAAATAAAGGATCAATTATAAACATATTTGATCCTTTTCTATAAGAATACTTATAAATGAAAATATATCATTATCAAGTTTTTGTTTTTTGTGTATGTATTTAGTTAAAAATTTGATTCATAAAAATTGCTAGTTTTGAAATGGTAAGTGATAATACCAATTTTATATTTTCACTAATTGTTTGCTACATCATAATAAGTTTTATCATAAAATTATATTTTATATAATTGTTTTCCTTTAAAAATTTTATTTCGGACAATACTATATTTATCTTTCACAAATTTGATTTTATATTATAATTAATTTTATCACATCATAACAAATAAATAAATGAATTGCTTTTTAAAAATAAAAAATATAAATACTCAACTAATGTCACGAAGTAATGAATTCTTTATTTGTACTAAATATTTTAACCTAAAAGTTTTCCAAAATTTAAAAAATCATTATTAAATTTCTATTTTAAAATAAAAAGAATGGTCAATTTATCACTAATAAAATTTGCCACATAAGCTTGACACTTGGCGACTTTCTAGCAAACGGAGTTTCAAATATTATATTAATTATATTATATTATATTTTTTTAATTAAAAAGAAAATTTTATACAATCCTTTTTTAATTATGAAATTCTTAACTGAAATTGTATCAAAAAGCACCCTAGCTTAGATGGTTAGGAACTCAACTAAATGACCAAGAGATCCTTGTTTCAAGTCAAATGACCCTAGCTCTGCCAAATGTCAAGTTCTTATAGCTCCGAGTCTGCTTTATATATATAAAGGATAAAGGATATAGTAGAATATGATGTACTCCTTTCATCTCGTAAAAATTGCAGAATATCACACTTTGATCTGTACGTAATTCAAGAAATGTGTTAAAAAACATGTTCTTTCAAATAATCAACGTACAAAAAATATCGCTTCATTTTGAACAACGTACAAAACCTCATCTCTTATAAAATAATTTATTTATAAATTGGTATAAAAAGTTCTACTAGAGTATAAAATAATATGTTACAAAATATTTTATTTATCAAATATTCAAAAAAATACACAAACAAACAAAAGTAATCGAGAGGTTAGAACAATAAGAGGGGAAGAAATTTCTGGGATGGAGGAAGTAAGATATTTCCAAAAAATTAATCTATTTTATTTATATACTCCATATAATTTAATACTCCTTCCGTTCCTTAAAATCCTTTCCCTTTCATCTTTTTCCAGTTTCCTAAAATACTTCCACTTTCTATTAAAAATCACTTTTACCTCTACTTTTTTCATACCCTACCTATCACATCATACTTTTTCACTAATAACCAAACTATCACATCTTACTTTTACTCATCACATCAGGGACAAAATTTGAAAGTTAACCAAAATTATACTTTCCTTAATTTGGATAAAAGTCAAAACAGGAACCTTTTATGGGAATGGAGGAAATATTTGTTTAGCTGGTGATCAAATTCAACTACTCCCTCCGTCTCCCAGTTTTTGTCCACTTTCATTTTCACACACCATCCAATGCACTTCTTTAATCCATTTTATCTTGTAATTTGTATATTAAAAAATTACTCCCTCCGTCCTAATTCTTTCTTCCCAGTTTGACTTTTCCCCATTTTTAATTTTTGGCTTTGACTTCAAATTTTACCTTCCTTAAAAAAGATTTTTTGAATTTTTTTTTGCAATCATTCAAAATATAGATTTAGAAGATAATTGGTGTAAATACATGAGGGTATTCATGTCATTTGTCATCTTTTTTTTCTAATGGGAAGGTAGTTTTAGGACGGAGAAAAAGGGGAAGTGGGAAGAAAGTTTTAGGACAGAGGGAGTATAAAAATTACTCCGTATATATTAATAATCTATATATTAAGACAAATCAAACTAGATCACACATGATTATATTTAGGCTTACACATTGAGAGAATTTGATGAGTCAAAGTGCTTAGATAAACAGTTCCAAAAGTCAAAAGTGGACAAAAACTAGAGGACGGAGGGAGTACAAGATACTTCATCAAACTAGACGAATACTCAAGCACACATCCCACATAGATAGTTGGTCTCATACTCCGTAACATTTTTCATGGATAACACCAACTTTGACACAATCAAAGACAATCCAGCACACAATCATTTCCTCTTCATAAACATTACACAAGTACACAACACGCCCAAAAGGGTTCCTATTCTGAATGTGGTTACTGTAGCATGGTCCTAAATCAATTGAGCTTGCCAAATCACTTAAAAAGTCCTCCAAAAAAAAAAAATTGAACCACGAAAACAAGTTTTAGGTGCAGACTGAATAGGGAGAGAAGTGGCAAGAAAAATTACTAGACATAGATCATCTTCTTGAAACAGTAAGAGCCCACAAGAAACCAGCCAACAAGAATAGCTATGAAGATTCCCCAGATGGTTAAAAAAGACCATCCCCCAAAGGCCCATGCTAAACCAGACACTACAAGAACCGGTAAATATGCCCCCAAGATAGACGTTTTTCTCACCCATTGTCCGTTGAGCGCGAGAAAAACAGCCACACTAACCACATTCCATCCTCCGCCTTGGAAACCCAACCTGTTTAAAGCATTGGCCACAAATGAGTGGCAGTTGCATGTGAGAAGGTTATAAGACAGGTGTTGGAACTCTTCTGTGCTCTTATGCAATGCACCATCCCATGTTGTCGTGTCACTCCCAATTTCGCAGCTGTTTTCTCTTTCATAAGGAGCCGGGTAGCGAGAAACACGACACTGAGTTGCATATTTGGCAAACTAGTAATTAGAACCACAAACAACAAGAACAACAGGCCTAGTAAAATCCCCACAACAAGAACTACAAACTAAGACTCACGGGTCTACCCTACTACTACAACCATAGATCTCCAAGCATTCCTATCTAAGGCCATATTCTAGATAAAATGATAAAGTCATAAGTCATGTGTAATCATTAGAACATATACCTCATTCTTCCTTATTTGCACGTAGCGTGCCGGTGCTCCAAATGCAAAATTGTCCACACAGACAAAATTTGGTCCGGCGAAATCCAAGATTACTCCATCCTCCCTGCAGATCCCAATGTGACCAATGAGAGGGATAAACCAAGACAGGACAGGAAGTGGTGTCCAAACAATGCAGCAGGGAAACCGAGCTCGTCTTGCATCTATTTCTGTACTTTCTTCAATCATCACGGAATGCTCACCATCAACACCGGGCTTTATCATTGCTAAAGCTGTAAAATTTAGTCTGCATTGACATACAGTCCAAGTTATGGACATCATGAAATGATAAACGCAATCTGTTTTCATAGGTAAAAGACAGCACTGCAATTTATTTTAAAGGCAATGAATAAATTATAGTACAAGCACCTCAAACACATTAAACATTTTGCTTATCTCTGACAAGTCTGTTATGTGATTTCTGACAGAATAAAAAGATATAGGCTTATAGCTATATGAACCATAAGTATCAACGAGAATGGGAACGGACAAATACAGCTAGAGTAATTGCCTTGTATTTATGTGTAAATGCCAAAGTGTAACACAGTACAAATGTCTTGTGAGGAGCCTATTTATGGAAATTAAGTACAATAGGACTCCTTCTGGGCTCTGTGCGGTGTATTTGCCCAGTGTTTCTTTTTCGCTTATCCCATTGTATTTGTTCACTTTCTATTTGTAAAAAGATTTTGGGCCTCACTTAGACAAGTTCGCCCCACCAAACAAGTAGTGGTAGTTTTTGCAATTTACAGCTGAAACTTCATCCTCCTTGGTTGCCAAAAAGAAGCTGGACACACAGATAGAGATGGAGGTACGAGGTAGTAACTTACAACCAGACTAGACAAGGAGGTGACTAGTCGGTGGTGATCATGATGCGTTCTTGGAAGGGCTATGTGCTAGGTGTTGGGCCAGTGGTTAGCTCTGTGATCCCATCATAGAGCTTTCTAGCGCTTGACGCCTTTTAAAAAATATTGAGCAATGAAGCAACATGCAAAATGTTTGAGAGAATAAAGCATTGACAAATCTAGGCATGGCTTGAAGTAGGCTTCATCCCAAGCCCGCCATTTTTAACCCCATACACTCCGTACGGCCATACTAAAACATGTTTAATTATGCATTCCTAGCCCAGTCTCATTCCTTAATTATTCCACACTCCATTCATATAAGTCCAACTCATTTCAGTAACTAAACCATTGTTCATTTAATCAAATTACTCCCTAACTATCTTATTCTCTATTATACTACTCCTTTCGTCCCAAAAAGAATGCACACTTCACTATTCCAAAATCACGGGAACATTTGTTTATTTGTGGCTTTTGTGCATTTCCATTGATGCCTAAGTGCCTAACCCCAAGTTTCACTTAACTCCATTTAGGTTGTCTCTTTCCCAAGTCTGTTACAACTATATTAGTTGATTCTAAGTGTCTCCGTGAATATACTGCATTGCTTCCTAAACAATGCCTAACCCCATTCAATACCCAACAGTCTTCATTCTTCAGGCTATGTTACCTGTCTTGGCGAGCGTTCTCCACCTTCTGGACACCTAATCATAGCCTACTTGTAGCATAGACACCGCCATGACATCCATGCTAACAATTGTCTGATTGATCAAATGTATCAATGCTCCACTGATATTCAAACTCTCAAGCTACTGCTGAATTTGACATTTACCCATGGAATATCAAATATTATTCTTTTTAAGTCGAGACGATTCGTGTACACTAACAGAGAATTCCACCTCCTCTAAATATAAAATAACCATTCAAAAAAACCATCTTTCAAAAGCACATCGCACTAACCCAACAAGAAAATTAGCTCAAACTCAACTGAGTCCAGCTGTGGTAGGTGATCAGTTAAGAACTCACCCATTTCTTAGTGTTTTAACAAAATACCCAATTGGTTTTCATTAGATCGCATCTTACCATTACTGCTCACTTTACCTTGTTATAGATAATTCTATAATAATCATCAGATCCAGTGAACAGGCCCGGAACAGATGATTGGGGGGAGGGAATCAGTGAGAGATTTTACCCTCGGGTGGGAGATGAATGGCAACGAATCCCCAATTGCCGGAAGCTTTTCTTCCGTTGTCGGCGCTGAACCAAGTTACAGAATGTATTCGAATTTCTGTTCTTTACAGGATAATAATCCGACGCCCAACTCTAATTACAGCAAGAAATCAAGGCTTACGGCGCAAGTATACGCGCTACAGCCCATCGGAGTGCGCCGCCGGCTACCCGGCGCCAGAGATCTTTATTTGCTCGCTCGTCTTTGGCTCGAGGAATTGTGACTTTTTACTGGAAATAGCCGTCGACTTAAATTAATTAATCTATTAGCCAAAAGGTTGACCACTATTGAATAGTCAATACTCCCCGTCGCGCTATATTCGTCCACTTTTGACTTTTAGAAATGTTCATCTAAGCACTTTGACTCATCAAATTCTCTCAATGTGTAAGTCTTAATATAGTCATGTGTGATCTTGTTTGATTTGTCTTAACATATAGATTATTAATATATAATTTCTATAATTTTTTAATATACAAATTACAAGATAAAATGGATTAAAGAAGTGTATTGGATGTTGTGTAAAAATGAAAGTGGACAAATACTCTGAGACTAGTACATCTCAAATAATAGTCGATTATTTATTGCATGAATTTTATGTTTAGTTATTGATTGGGGGTAGAGTGCGCACAAAGATCAACTATTTTTTTTGGATGCACAATAATTTGTTCTCACTTATTACATACTCTTTTATAGGTCTCCTCAATCAATTGGGTGATGGATTCCTGTTGGAAGAGTAAAGGATGGTATACATACAAGATACTACCTCCGTCTCAGTGTATTTGTCCAGATTGACTTTTTCGAGTCAAACTGGATAAACTTTAAACTTCAATTACTCTCAATTTATATTGCATATTAGCATAATAAAATATAATTTTGAAAGTTCTTAATACTATAAACCCAATAAAGTCATTTTTATGTTAAAATACATTACGGTTTTTATTTAATTCAAGCTTAAAGTTTGTCCAGTTTGACTCAAAAAAGTCAAACTGAACAAATACACTGGGACGGAGGAAGTACATCATAATATATCATAATATGGGTCTTAGCCTTTTCAAAGTCAATAACTAACACCAAGGAATGGTATGGTATGGGGTTGGGTTGAGCCCAAAACATATAATTTTATAACCAAAGAAATGGCTAACTTTACATAGATTTAGCCCATGTAAGATGCATGTTCTTTGGTAGAAGTAATTGCAGATATTTCATTTCGAGTGACATTATATGAATTTATTAGAAGTATTGAAATGTGATGCGAGTTGTGGTGATCAGAACTAATGGCTAACGCTTTTTTCAATTGTAGGCATGATTAGCATTTATTGTATACGCTTGTATGAAAACAAAGTGTATTTTTTTAACTCAATCTTCGAGACCGGATGACATAAGAAAATGAAAGTGAAACTTTCGTAAACGAGTAGGTATTAATATGAGTTTTATTAATAATATTGAAGAAATTATTTATTTCTTACGAACTTTATTTCTTATTACTTTTTTTTAAAAATTTTTAATAAAAGTCTTGACGGTTATTTCGGAAATAAGACATACCTCAGCTTAAGGCTTGACCAAATTGGATTGATGTTCTCAGAGGACCCTAACATCCAGGGGGGACAAAGTGTGGATTTTATACTATGTGATTTCTATGGTTCATCATTGGACAAAGTTACTTGTACCCCAAGTTTTTGTACCCCACTTTGTACCCCGCAGGTTTGCACCAACACTTTGTATTGGTGTAAAACTAATTTTTGTTAATGCACCAACACTTTGTATCCGTGTAAATTTTTGTTAACGCACCAACACTTGTGTCGGTGTAAACCATCAAAATGTTTGTGTATAACTGCGGTGTACAAATGGAGTACAATTTGTGGTGTAAGTGTAGCATGGCCCTTCATCATTACTTATCCCATGTAAGTTCATTTGTGTATTTTTGAAACTAAAGTCTTTTCGTTCTTTATTGTTAGCGGACAAAAAATATGCAGCAAAAAATCACACTTTAAGAACAATTCATTAAGGACAGTTCAAGATAAAAATCAGCAGCACGATTGGATCAGCATGGCAAACACAATTCAAGACAGTCGCACGATTGGATCAGCAACAAAAAAGGAATAATTAAAGACAGAAATCGATCAGCAGCGCGCGCACGACTAGATCTTCCGTTGATGAGGAGGAGACTGATCGGCGAAAACAAAAGGGATACAGCGTCGGACAATCTTACGCACGCCGGAGAGCAAAAACGCGAAAGAACCCTAAAATTTTGGCTCTAATACCAACATTTTAACGGAAACTGATCTGAATTTCATTAATCATGAACTAATATAAATACAAATACCGAAATGGGCCTAGCCCAATATGCTAGAGTAAAACTTATATACAAATATATGCTAACATTTATTATAGATTATTGAAGTTTATGTTGTATTATATACTCTCTCCGTCCCCCTAAGATGTTTTCATTTTGACTTTTGGTGGTTTTTAAGGAGAGTTGAAAAAAGGTGAAAGTTTACCATAATACCCTTAATGAAAAATGGGTGGAGTGTATTAAATGAGGTGGGTGAGGTGTAATAAATAAAGTAAGTGGGGGGTATACGTAGTTGTGGTATTTTAATTGTTAAAAAATGAAATGAGAAAATCTATTGTGAACAAAGAAAAAGAGCTATTGGGAAGATCTATGGGGGACGGAGGGAGTATATTTTTTCGTATTGTAGGTGTTTCAATCTACTTTGCCGTACATCGTAGTTGAATTGGAGGAGATTATAGAGTATTGGGCGGGGGGTTATCTTGATGAACTAGTGTAAGTTGTATGTGTTTGTAGTTTGTTGTATAGTATGCATGACTGGTAGTATGTTGTGGTGCTATAGTTTGTAAATCGTGATATTACTGATGTATATGTTCGTTGTATTGGTCTGTTTGGTTCTACGCATTCTGTTAAAAATTGCAAGTTTGCTAGCTTCGTACAAACAACTGCTATAAAAAAGGAGACTATTTGCATCGGTTATTAATTACCTAATAACCGATGCAAAAATCCCTTCCCAAAATGGCACCAGTTCTGGTAAAGGATTTTTGCATCGATTATTTGGAAATAACTGATTCAAAAACTCTTTCACAGAACTCTGCTAGTTCTCGACAAAGGCTTTTTGTTAGAATACATCCCACATCGGAAATCCAAGAGTAAAATAATCGGTATATAAGCTCTAGAGTTGAACTGACTAATCGATTGGATTCAATCTTTTAATGCGGTTCAACCCAAGTGTCTTATAGCCAAATCCAGTTGTCCATACTCATCCTAAATTCTATCATTTTTGCATTGATTGTTTTGAAACAATCGATGCAAAAATCCTTGCCCAGAACTACGCCACTTCTGATGGTTTCAATCTGTTTTCGCACCTCGGTCGCCATAAAGGTGACTGTGAAGTGGGTGATGGTCGCTGGCAGGCGTGGTGCAGGGCATTGAGTCATCGTGTTTTGGCATTTTAATTTGCATTTGTGTGGCACTGTGAATTCACATGTATGACATTACATATGGGCATCTGTGACATTGTGCATTGTCGTGTGTGACATTATCTCGTGTCAAGTTTGACATTATGTTTTTTTTAACACTGTATATGTTTTTCTTTGACACTATATTAGTAGGTAGTACGACACTGCTATGATGATGACATTATATATTGTGGTGGTGATGTGGGAAATAGTGGTTGAGACTGGCAATGTCGTCGATGGTAGTGAAAAATCGATGCGGAATGGTGTGTTTCGGCACCATGCTAGCATCGATTCAAAAGCACGATGGGAAGATATTTTTTTTGAAAACACCTATGGTTGAACAACTTCCTCCTTCATACATGGACTTGATTAATGGAAGAAAAAATTTCATTTTTAGACCTAAAGAAACAAAAAAAAATGGTATGAAAATGTAGGACTAGAACGATCCAAGAGAAATTTTAAAATGGTATGAAAAACTAAGGAAAAAAACAGCACCAATCAAAGAGAAATTTTAAAGTGAAGAAAGGCGTACAATGAAAAAAGAGGGATAGCATTAAATTAATAAGTCAATCACTCGTGAGTTTAAGTTTAAACTCAAACTTTGAGAATATGTCACATATTTTATTCCTAATTTGGTCCTTCTCCCATAATTTTATTCACCCACTTCCTTGTTGCCTCAAAATATAGAGAAGGAACAGAGAACACAAAGTGTGTATCTTCTGCATTCTGCAATGATCTGATGATGAAATGAAAACACTCTCCCGACTTGTCTCTTCACAATTCCCCATCCACCCAGCAGCAGCCCCCGGGGTGGGGTGGGGGTCCTGATGTATAGGTGCAATCACTTTCCCCAGTTTTTGTCTTCTCTTTTATTTTTTGTTACTCCGTATATATTTTGAGATGATGAGAAACTGATGTTATTATTAAGGTTGCTTGCAATTGAATGCATGGTTAATGATGAGTACACACACAGTACTCTTCGTGTAGTTGCTCTGTACTTTTTACCCAAAAAGGGAAAAAAGGTGAGATGAATATTCCCCAGCCCGGCCCCGCGCTACCTAGCTAGCTTGTAGCTCTTATATTATAGGCCGTGTGGGGTACGTGGAGCTTAGCTAGGCTCTCCTAATAATCTAGCTACTCGTGTCTAGAGCCCTGCCCATCTCCCACATTTTATGGCTTTTTTATGTACCTTCTCCCTCTCCCTATTATAGCACGTCGGGCGGTGGACGTTACGCAATTGACAAAGATAAGATTTAAGTTCGATTTCTGATAACTGCGTTAGGAGAAAACCACACTAAACACAGGGCTTCTGCAAACACCAGATGCAGGCTCCATTCTTTGTCATTAATTTGCGAGGAAAATATAATGTACTTCCTCTTAGTGAGCGTTTTCCGGGTCTGAAGGAGCCCTCCAATCCTTTTTTTGGATCCGCGAGTGTAAAACAACTTGTTAATATCAAATGTCATCATAAATAGATTCGAGTATGAATCTAGTGTCTTAGAAGTTGAAGTTAGAGATAATCATGTCAAGTATGAGATTCTTGCCTATAACAAATATATATAGCACGTAATATATACCTTGTTAATGAGGTTGACAAGGCCGACTTTGAGTGGAGCACTATATATATGCCGTTGAGGTTGAACTAGACAATACTGAATAGATTGGATGCAACTGTTTAGTGAGGTTCAGTTCAAACGTCTTAGTGTTTGTTTATAAAATTCATTTCTTAGCGGCCGTGAGTCTTTAGCACGATCGTCCATATGGAATTCAT